TTTTATTTATTACATAAATTACATAAAAATTACAGTTTGCTTATTTAAGCTTTAAAATAAATAAAAAAAGACTTGTTCTTTTTTTAAGTATATGACTAAATTTTTCCACACAGTGCAATCAAGAATCGATTAGAGAATCGTTAAAGAATCGGATCGATAATCAGAATTGTCAGTTGCATTATTATTTATAAAATCTTATCAATTCCCATTCCTATGTGAGGACAGTAAAATTATAATCATGCATGTTTTTTGATAGTTAAAAAATTAAAACATTTTGTTGAGTAATGACAATGAAATGGCTTACATACCCCTTATTTTTATTGTTTGCAGGACTTATGGGCCGATTTGTTGTGGACACGCACCTGAAGAAATCCACACTTAAAGGAGAACTCCGGCGCAAAATGAACCTTTGGTCTAATTACACATTGTTACCTAGTCAACCGTTATCTGAGATTTGTTTTCATGATTACAGAATGTTAATAGTTTTCTCTCTAAAAACAGTTTAGCCTATAATATAGGGCATAGAGTAATGACAAATAAAAATCGCTTGTTATTACCACTAACAAGGCTCAAAATAGCCCCACACTAACACGGTAACATAATAAGGGTCCCTACATTCAAACCGAAGCATTGAGAACTTTGTAAGTGTCCATACCAGTGTTTCCCCTACCATTGTTTTAGGGGGGCGATGTTTTTCAACGGCTCTGGTGCAGTTGACGCGCAGTTTTATTTACCATACATACACTGAAGACACACGTGTGGCGCTTGCGCTGTTTTTTTTTTGCCTATCCACAAGTTTCCTACGCCCCATGAGGCCTTGCGTCAAAAGTGGGCGCGTCTTCCGGTTCGAAGTAAACAAAGCACGACTTGACATACTTCACACTCGTTCATTCAACAGTTGACAGTCATTCAAGTTATAGCGATCCAAACTAGCTAACGATGTGGGAACACAACCTCAACGAAATTAAAAAGGGTGAAATAACAGTACATTTACCCTCTGCAGTAGTTGATTGGGAGTTTTATAATAACATTATTAATAATCAATACTCAGCAGGGCAAGGTGACAGACAATTGTGTGAGCTGACAAACAATTAAAATAAAAAATACACACTTAGTCATTGTGCTTTGGAGAAATTATAAAAAATTATAAATGAATGTGCTACTTGAATACATTAACTGGCACATTTGGTATTCTGTCAACTCAGGCTTTGATCCTGAGTTTAGGTGTAAAATCAGTAGCGAACAGCCAATCACATGCTGATAGAGTTTATATAATATTAAGAATTTAAACAAATGTACACAGGAAGATTCATCGTCTTTTGGGAGGTGATGGAAACTAACGTTACAGTCGTTGGCAGGATCACTCTGATTTCGTTTTCGGCTTATGTTCAAAACAATCACGTTTAAGCCACTGAATTAGTTTAGTCCGGTTATACATACAACCGCGAACAGCACATGTTGTCCCTGAGCTCCGTAATGACATCTCTCATAAAGATTTGCGTCTTTAAATAGTAAAATAATTCTCCGAAAAACAGCTAGCCTCTTCGCTAACTAACACACAAAATACCATTGGAATGCTACTTCTGCCGCCTTACCGGAAGTTTTACCCACTTTATTTTTTACTTCAGAGATCTTGCACTTTTGTGTGCATTTAAATAAATTTCTTTTTTGTATTGAACCACATAAATTGTCATCATTTTATTGTTAAACCTCCTATGGTAAACTAACAAATATTTTTATTCTTATAACGCCGACTGACATTTTCAGGAATACATAGTCATGGAAATGTGCCGAGAAGTCATGGAAAAGTATTGGTAAAAATGTGTATGAACCCTGCATAGAGACGGAATGGACTATTTTCTTTAGTGGAAGCAATACAATCGTTTTTAAATCCAGACTGATCTCATGAAGTAGCGTGTGTATGACACGCCAATTCGTGTTTCCATTTTTGGCGTGCTATCAGGACGCATAATCGCCTTTCAGCGTGTTTATGAACGGCGTTGACTTAACGTTATATAAATATATGACTTACCTCAACCCCGTCCCTAAACCTAACCGTCACTGGGGTTAATGGCATTTATGACTGTTCCCTTACCATCCTAGGAAAGAAAAAGGTATGACTTACCTCAACCCCATCCCTAAACTTAACCGTCACTGGGGTTAATGGCATTTATGACTGGAGATTTGACTGCGTGTACAGACACGCGGAATGACGCAGACGTTAATGGCGTAGACATACACGCATACACGCGGATACACGCAGTTAGTTCAAAATGCGTAGAGATAACACGCCACCTGACTTGAAAGTGGCGTGTATGTTTACGCAAAAGTCATGATGTCATGTTGTTAAATCAATAAACTCCTTTTTAAATCAATATTTAAGAGTCAATTTTTTTTGGTAGGTAGCCATGTAATAAGTGGATAATGTAGAGCGAGGTGGTTGTTGTTATAGCAAATACAAACCCAACAGGGGTTATGACCCCAACGCGAAGCGGAGCTCTACATTATCCGTTACTTAATTTATACAGGGAAGACTATTATACGGTGTTATTTTACATTTGATTATTTAATGTCTGACTCTATACCTGTCCTGAATACAGTTAAATTTACCTGAAAAAAACAAAAAAAATCTATCTATGCTTGTAATTTATTTATTACTTTCTATGGAGATTTGATTCATTACAAAATCACCCCTGTCATTCTAGAATGATTTATTCTTTCCAAATAGAGCTATTCAAGTCATCTGGGGCCTGTTTCAGAAAGGAGGTTAAGTGAAAACTCAAGTATGTTACATAAGAGTATGTTAACAGTGAAATGAGAGTAACGCTGAGTTTTCTGTGTCAGAATGGGAGGTATGTTAAACCCGAGAAAGCAGAGTAAGTCAAGCCCATTTCTGAAAGAGAGGTAACTTATACTCAGAGTCAGTTACCATGGTAACCTACTCTGTGAACCTAACCTGGTTGGGAGCAGGTTTTCTTCAGTAAACCCAGAGTTACTTTTGGTCTCCTCCCCTTTTTTAAAGTGGAAGTGGTGTTTAAACACCTCATTCAGAACATTTTTATTAATACAAATAATCTTTTTTTTTTAATAAGATGAAGTCTATATAACTCCTTAACTGGCAACTGAAAATACAGTAGTAGATTAGAGTTACATAATGTAGTTCTAAACAAATTCTACATAATTAAACTGTGGCATTTACTGAAAATCACTTTACTGTGTTGATCTGTGCAACAGAAGTTGATGGACCTTCCTCCTGCTGTTCTTCCACACTCTGGGGGCGCGGGGAGAGATAAGAATACCCATTTATAATTAGATTCTATAGGCTACTCCACATAAAAATGTGAAAAAAATGTGAATGTGTAGATTGGTTGATGTGTACATAATATTAATCTGTAGGCCTCTCTGTGGCAGCAGAAACTCTTTATCCCTCTTGAGTACACTTTATAACACCATTTGTCATAATTTCTGGTGTATTGAGCGACTTACGGGGTTCTGTTGGGACCGGAGGCTCCAAAAGACATTACCATCAGAATCTTTTGGGATCAACAAAAATCCTAACTCAAAGTAAAAAAAATTAGCCTATATAAAAAAATAACACGTATGTAAACCTCTTACATTTTAAGAAGTCCCTCCAGGAATTCCCTCAGCCGTAAATGCTGCTGCACTTAGACACTGGTAGCCTACACCCATGATATGCTCAAGCCAAGCCATATGTTAAAAAAGGCTTTAATCAAGAATCAAGAAAAAGGCTTTAATCAAGAATTTAAACATAATCAAGAATTATGTTTTTATTCAACTTTCAGCTGCTGCCATGTTCTTTTAATGCTTGTATCAACCATAAACTCTTGAACAATATAAGGAGAGACAAGAAACAGCACTTTTAATGCCTTCAAATAATCAATATAAAATTGCATGAAATATTCTTGAATTGACCAAAGTCTGTAGAGGGATAAGGTTACATTAAAAATATAACTTTTAAAAATGTATGTTAAATAGCCTATACAGAATTTTTCTATAGTCTAATACAATTACATCAAATTTAACTTTAAATTACAGAAGAATTAAGAGTAATCAGTTTAATTAAATTACAGTATAGATTACTTGGTTATTAATTACACCCATCACTGTATAAAAGTAATTAAAATGAAAACTTATAAACAATATAATGTTCGTACTCTACTCTCCATATGCAAAAGTTCCAGTTTTGCTGGTGAGAAAATATGAAGACCTCTTTTTGTCTGGCACTGTTACCATGGTGACTCATAATATCTGCGCTAATGGCTTTTTAAAAGTATGGTGCACGCGCTTAACTCAGAGTCAGTCAACTCAGAGTTGATTGAACTAACTCATTTCAGCTGTTTTGAAACCGAAAACTCAAGAGTTTCCCATCTCAGGGTAAGTCAACTCAGAGTTGGTCGAACCTCCTTATTGAAACAGGCCCCTGGTGAAATTCTTTTCCTATCGCATAAAAACAAAAATAATACAATGTCATTTTTCCCCTAATATCGTGCAGCCCTGGAGACAAACAAACACACACACACACACACACACACACACACACACACACACACACACACACACACACACACACACACACACAGCTTCAGATTCACATTTCCCACTGAAGGATGCGAAAAGAAACATTAATTACCGTCCTTACTAACACTCTCTTTGTTCTACTATCTCTATGCTTGTAATTTGTTTATTATTTTCTATAAAGATTACTACATTAGGCTACAAAAGCACCCAGTCACTCTGTTAATTTTTTTTCCAGAGCTATTCAAGTCATCGGGTTAAATTGTTTCCATATCGCAATATTTAAACACACACATATGGCTAAAAACATACATTAACATCAAAATGAAAGCTAAACATATAAACAACATTTCCACAGAATCCACCAAAATGATATGAGATTATAAGCAAACACAACAGAAGAGAAGAGAAAGCAACTTGTTAACCTAAAACAGGCATTTGTTTAGGGCAGAAAGCAAACTTACATAAATCAGTCCTCAATAACAAACAGTCCAGGACAGGCAGAAAAGAATCACGAAGAGAATAAACAGTCCAAGAGTAATCCACGGGAAGACAAAACCACAAGAAACGCTCGTAGATGTCCACCAGAGCAAAACATATCTTCTTCTTCTGTTGTTTAAATGGCGGTTGGCAAACCAACTTCAAGGTGCATTGTCCGCCACCTACTGGATTGGAGTATGGAGCACTACTTGATAGAATACACTTGAATTAAAAAAAAAAAAAAAAAAAAAAAAAAAACTTATATCTAAATTATATCTTTCTTACTAGTTCTGTGTCATTTAAAAATTTGAATACTTTTTCGTGTATTGTATACTCTGTTCCTTCTAACAATTCCTTAAGTGTATAATTTCTTACACCCCTATCCTTTAACGACTGAATTAATTCACGCCTTTCTCTGCTGTATGCTACACATTCTAGTAATATATGTTTTACTGTTTCTGGATGTCCACATTTATCGCAACTACCATTTTCATGTTTTCCTATTCTATGTAAACTTTGATTCAGCGCTGTATGTCCAATACGCAGTCTTGTCATAATTACATCCTTTTTCCTGTTATTAACGTTTGCTCTTTCCACCCCCACCTTACTTTGTATACTATATAAATGTCTTCCTGTTAATTCATTGTCCCATATCCTCTGCCACATCTTTTTCACTTCAGTCCCAATCAGTCCCTTAGTTTCTGCTTTACTCATCTGTACTCTGATTTTGATCTCACAATCTTTCAACGACTCCTTTGCCAGTTTATCAACTTCCTCGTTCCCCTTTACTCCGACATGTGCTGGCACCCATAGAAAACTCACTCTTACGCCTAAGTGTTTTATGTTAAATAACTTCTGCAATATTTCATTTAAGATATCTTGTCTTGTTGCAGAAGTTCCACTCTCTAGACTTTGCAGAGCTGATTGTAAGTCTGAACATATCACACTACTATTTGGCTGCCTTTCTTCAATCCATTGTAACGCTAATGATATAGCTATTCTGTATCTCAAAACATATCTTCCCAACGAGGATCTTCTTCTTCTTCTTTTGTTTTTTTTGGGCGGTTGGCAAACCAACTTAACGGTGCATTTACCGCCACCGACTGGGCTGGAGTGTGAATCAGGAGATAGATATTGGAACTTAAAAAAAAAAAAAAAAAAAAAAAAAAAAATATATCCTTTTTGCTAAGTCTGTATCTCTCAGAAACTTAGTAACAAAGTGATAATTGTTGCAGGATGTTTTCCCTAATATACCTTGCATTGTGAAATTATTCTGATTAACCATTCTAAGAGATTGAAAAAGCTGGTTTCTTTCTTCACTGTACTTTGTGCACTGAAATAAAATATGCTCCACAGTTTCTAAATGAGTAGCCTACAATGTTGGCATTTAACAAGGATCTTCTTCTTCATCTGTGGTTTTTATTGGCAGTTTGCAAAGTGCATTATCGCCATCTTCTGAATTGAGGTGTGAATTCATTGGGATATCATTTATATATGTTACTAAAAAAATAAAATGAAAATAATAAAAACTAAATCCTGAGTTTCTTTCATAAAGATCATAACATCCTTAATTATAGATTATGTGCCAGGCAAACTCAATCGTTCTGTTGCCTTCTCTAGTTCTTTTCTTTTTTCAGAGTACTTTCTACTCATCAAGAGGATGTTTTACATCACATCTCCACAACAAATGCATAATCCAGTCCGGTGTTTTCCTATGGGCTCTATGCACGGCGGTATTTCAGGTGAAGGTCTAAGGATGCTCGATAATTTCCGCCGATCGTAGAGTCCAATACCGAGAATTTATATTGACTTTTATACTCCATGGTTATACTAAAGAAACTTTAGTCACAAAAACAGATAAAACAGACACCCCTCATTGTGTTTATGCTTCTTTTTAGTTAAATGTTTATTATATTAAATAAACATAACTATGTATAAAATTACATCTAAACGTATGAAAGTTTCGTTTCAAAGAAGGGAGGACGGTACATTTTGAAGACTCTGCCATAATCCCGTTTTCCTTGGTTTTCTTTAATCTCTCCAACTGGAAACTAAAGAGCATCCTTGCGTCAAATTGCGGAACTTTTGCGTGCATATAGCCTATTAACTTCAGGCAGTTTATTAATCTTGTGTGCTCTATTCTCAAACTTGTAACCGTAGTGTCCTCCTGTCTTCTTATTCTGTTCTTTATAACCATCACTTTTTTCTGGATGCTTTATAAAATTTCTTTATTTCTCTTCCTGATCCATGTATCCTGACATCCGATTCGCCAACATATATTAAATTAATCAGATATATATAGACCATTTCACAAGATGTAAACAACACTGGTCCAGAAGCACTTCCTGTTTCAGTTTTTTAACACTACATAAAAGCTGGGATAAAATACAACCAACAGAACATTTAAAACTGAATCAAAAAGTTAAACAAACATCTTTAAGATGTTTTCTTTACATGTGAAATAAAGAAAACAGTTACAAACTGAAACAGGAAGTGCTTCTGGACCAGTGTTGTTTACATCTTGTGAAATGGTCTATATATATACACAAATTAAACATATTACATCTTACTATGGCACAGATTGCTGTGAATGCTCAAGAGAACTTTGCTTGTCATGAAGGCTTGACTTGAAAAAATGTAATTTATTTATCTATTGTATTTATCTATGCTCGTAATTTGTGTACTTTCTATGCAGATTTATTACATTACGCTGCCTTCACACTGGCAGTTGAAATCAGCTCCGTAATACGCAATACGTTCCCAACGGACGTCGTACTACACAGTGAAAAGCGTTGGACGCGGGTAGAACAAAAATGGCGGAGAGATTAAAGTTTGATTCTGTCAGTTCTGTATGATCTCTCTGATTAGGGTTATGCTGCGTGAGGAAAGTTGCTCAGGACGTTGACATGTCAGGTCGGCTAAAAATGTGATATAGTGGTCAATAGTTCAATGTCTACCTTCAATTTAATTGTATTAACTGCCCTTATAAACGTTAGAAAGTCATTAAAAAAAATGACATCACAAATTATCGTTATAAAATCAATATTTATTTTATTAAAAGTTAATAATTCAGGTTTGTTTATCAGTAGGCTACCATAGCAACGCTCAACTTCCGCTGGAATTGTCGGATAGGAACCGTCCGTAGCTTTTCGCAAGAGTTCAAATTTATGAACGCATCCGGATGACCAACGGACACGATTTTCTTCGCACCGCACTCGGTCGGACCCGTTTCGGACCCATTCGCATGCGGTCTGCGAATCTCCATAGGAAATGAATGACTTCCGGTCGTTTCGCAGCCGCATCGGAGCTGATTTCAACTGCCAGTGTGAAGGCGGCGTTAGGCTACAAAATCACCCCAGTCACTCTATAATGATTAATTATTTTCCAAATATAGAGCTATTCATGTCATCTGGTGAAATTCCTTTCATATCGCAATATATAAATTGCAGAAAAATAAAATGACGCAATGTCATTTTCTCCCAATATCGTTCAGCCCTAAAGACAATCCACCCAACCACACACACACACGCACACACACACACACACACACACACACACACACACACACACACGCACACACGCACACACACACACGCACACACACAGGGCTTACATTCTGTTTGACTGTGTTATTGTTGCAAACATGCTGCTCTAAAACTAATTGCCCCTTGTGGGATTAATAAAGTTGATTGAATTGAATACTTAACATTAGTTTACTTTGCGAAATTGCGATTCAATAGCCTACATTATTTTCAGTGAGCCCTAATAATTTTGTGGGGCTGTAATTTCAGTGTGCTATTATACAATGCTATATATTCAATTAAACATCCAAGAGGTCTGGTCTCTATAAGGTGGAGGTCCGGACAATTCTAAAAACGTTTTTTTTTTTTTATTATTATATGACTAATTCAACATGCCAGAATAAACCCCGATTTTAGAATAGGCCCTATATATAATATTATATATATAACAGTATATATATATATATATATTATACACTGAATATATATATATATATATATATATATATATATATATAGCCTATATATATATATATATATATATTTTTTTTTTTTTTTTTTTTTTTACAGAACTGCTTTTGAAATTACGATTGGTTTTATTAGGCTATAGATGTAAAGAAGTCATTCTGTTGGATACTATTTGTTCCTAGTGTAAAATGGAAATGGAAGTATATTTTTTTATATATATATAAATACAAGCCAAAAAAAAAAAACTAAATGGTGTAACAGTTTTAGAACTAGACAAATCTTTCTGCATAAATGCCTAAATATAAAATTTAACTACAGTTATCCATGTTTAATCGGGTTTAATCGGCCCATGTCATTATCATGTTCTAACCACTCGACCATGTGTTCACTTACGGAGAAATGCCTCTGCAGTGAGTATTCGCTCAAATGAGCAGGAAAACGTTTTGTCGTTAGCCTATTGTGAGTGTAGGTCTACCATACATGAAAAAAGTACACCTTTTACAGTTTTAAAATAAATTATGCTTTTATTTTAACTGTTATGAGAAAAATAAATTCAAGTGAGCACCGCCGCGTTTGTCGAATACTATAATTAATGCCAGAATAAAACCCGATTTTAGAATAGGCCTACCCCAGACAGCAAACTGACATTGAATCAACGTGGAAACGACGTCTCTCATGACATTGAAACAACGTTGATTTTGCTCATCGAATTAACGTTGAACCAACGTCAGACGCGGCATTCTTCAAAGCTAAATGAAAATCGAAAATTGGTTTGCTTTCATAACGTTGAAACAACGCGTTGATTTCAAGTTGATTTTCCGTTAGTTTTGAAAGAATGACGCGTCTGACGTTGGTTCAACGTTAATTCGATGAGCAAAACAATGTCAGATCAACGTTGTTTCGATGTCATATTTCCACGTTGATTCAATGTCAGTTTGCTATCTGGGACGCATATTACTAAAATACTCAATTATAAACTTCAATATTTTAATATTTCGTTCAAAACCACATCAAAACACTTCGTGACATTTTTAAAAGCAGTGAATCCGTTTATTAAAGGTTTTGTAGGTAGTAATTTTATTAAAAAAAAACTTTTTTCCAAATTTGTTTAAACTTTCTATATAGACCATTTCACAAGTACTTTGAAAAAGAATAGTATAAAAATCGAGTGTCTGTAGACCTCTCACGACTGTTTTAAAGACAGCTCATTATTTCC